GGTGACTTAATTTGTGGGGAAATGGTAGCTTGGAAGATCAAGTCATGGGCTGGGCATGGCTAGGCACGAAGGCAAGACTGATCAAGTGTTGTCGGCTCATATAGAAGGCAAGTGCACAACATGTGAGGCAGCTCCAAACGGTTGTGGCATTTGTCCTACAGATGGTGGCGATTCCAGACAGTTGCTGACATGTGCATGGCATGCAGGGGGTGGTTCTGTGCAAAATGCAAGCATGTTGCTGGTTGGGTCATCCAATAGTTGCAACTGCCCCTTACCATGCCCAACAGATGTGGGAGAGGACCTGAACCATCATTAGCAAACTGAAGGGTGGCTTTGTGGGTAGATCTGAACTGCCATGCAATTGCCTAGGCGGTTGGGCTTTGTAACTGTCAATCTTTTATGCTATAAATATACATGTTGGTTCTACAGTGTATCAACATAGTGTTGGGCACGTTTTTGTAAGCAGACCCTGGCCAAGTGTTTTCCTTAGGCTTTATTGAGAAAAAAAGGTTGGGTCATTGGCTTGTAAAGCTTGTGTGTGCTATGTGTTTGCTTACTGTCCCTATTCTGTTCATTGTGTGCATTTTGTGAGCGTTTTGAGAGCTTCTGAGACTGAGTGTAAGATCTCAGTGCCACCACAAAACAGAAATTTGGCTTACGGACAGGAGCTGAGGGTGTGGCGGCGGGTTTCTACCATTAATTATAATGTTTCTCATCCTTTTTAAAGTTAGAAACTAATTTGAGTTGTCATTCAATTTAATTTTTCCTAGCCAGGCAACGCAGGGTATATTTTTTGGTTTTTGATGTTTAACTATTCTGTAATCACTCATGCTTCTTGTAATTCTTTTGTCAAATTTTTTGCATATGTTCTATGCCAATTTTTTTTTTTTAATTACTTGCTGTGTTTTTCTTTTCAATTGCCAATTGTTGGCAAATTCAAAGGTGTTTCTCGAAACAAATGCAGCATTCAATTGAAGACGGTAGAATATGGGACAGAGGTAATTTGTATTGTCAGCCAAAACTCCTAGATTTTTTTTTATTTTCCTTTTTTTGGAAAAAAAAAAAAAGAGATTGTTTGTATTTTTTTTTTGTTGAGACTTAAACTTTTGATCTCAAAAAGACAAAATTTTGATAAGGTAAGAATGTAACATAGGACTCGAGGCCGGTTGGTAGATTGTTTAAATCTATCTCATTTTTATGGCTTCCAAAATATTGGATAGAAACTTTTTTACATATTTTCTCTGACTCTGGCTTATATCTAATTGTTGCAAAAAAAACTTTTTCAATGATGGCTAATTTTTCTTTTCAATACAAAATGAATTGAAGCTATGTGTTGTCTCTGAATGTTGGTGGAGTTCTTAACGGTGAAGTTTTTTTCTTTTATATATATATATATAGTATTCGTATGTTTCCTTTGTGCCTATGGTCACAATTTTTTTGCCATGTGTGATGACTTTCATTTTAAGAATTTCATGATTTTACTCATTTTTTGTTTTTTTGGGCCATAGTATGATGTCATATATTTGTTTTATAGATGAAGTTTGATTTTAAAAATGAATAATTTTTTACAATTTGAATGGTTAAATTAGCTTATATTTTTGATTCATTGACATGGTATATCAATAAAATTAAATTCTAAATACTTTTAGAATTAACATCCGCCCATCTAGGGCACGGGGTACCATTAGTAAAATAAGGAAGAAGGGTAATGACGGGTAACATAATTATTTGGTAACTTGCAGGAAAAATCGATTTCCAACACAAGTACTGAAAATCTACCCCCCGCCCTTTTATTTTCACCAAAAAAATATTTAGTTTAATCGATACATCAAGTTAACAATGTCACGTAATTTAACGCTCTCTTAATAGGTAAATAAATCAATAAATAGGTCATACTAAAACTTAGAATTATCCAATCATGTCATACATAATAACCTCTATGATAAAAAAATGAGTTGCATTTTACTTTTTTTTATTGGAAGAATTACACTCACACCTCCTAAAATTTGTCACTTAATCGTTCAGAACCCTAAAGTTTGTACACGCGAACATTTAGACTTCTGTTGTAAATATATCCATTAATAAATTACATTCAAACTCCTTGAATTTTATAAACCTATATTACTTAGACCGCTTAAGTTTAAAATATTATATTTAGACAAAAAACACTTCAATCAAAAATAGAATGTTAAATATTTTAAATACAATTAAAATTTATGTTCTATAGTATCATTTATTTGAAATAAAATAAAAAATTTAAATTTAAATTTTTCTTAAAAAATAATAATTAGTATACAATTATATTGTCTATTGAAATTTAATTTGGTCGTTTAAACGACCAAATTAAAATATCAAACTATCTCAATTGAAGCTAAAAGATATTGTGTTCATTACAATTTGACTCATTGTTTAATTTTTTTTTGTTTTATTCTAATAGATATTATAATTGTATATTAACTATATTTTTTTTAAAAAAAATTAAATTTTTATTTTTGATTTTATTTAAATAAATGACATAATATAACAAGAATTTTGGTTGTAAAATTAATATTAGATTAAGAATGACTTAGACCCATTGCTTTGATTTTTTAGTTTTATTCTAATAGATAGGATAACTGTATAATAATTATAATTTTTTAAGAAAATTTTGAATTTTGAATTTTAATTTTATTTCAATAAATGATACAATATAATATAAATTTTGGTTAAAAAATTTAAAATATTTTATATTTTATATTTGATTGGAGTATTTTTAGTTTAAGTATAACATTTTAAATTTAAAAAGTCTAACTATTATATGTGTACGAACTTCAAGGGGGTTTAAGTATAATTTATTAACGGATATATTTACAGTAGAAGTCTAAGTGTTATGTGCGTACAAACCTTATGAGATCTATATGTAATATTTTAAATATCAGAGAGTATTAGTAATTAAGTAACAAAACTCAAGAAATTTAGACATAATTTTTTCTTTTTTATTCTTTTTTTATGGAATGTTTGCACTATGTCTGGGTGTAACTAACTTTTACTCCCAATATTTTACTATCTCTACGCGCGAGCGCGCACACACACACCTACTATATTATAGTAAGAGAGTAGTTTTATCATGTCATCGTTGATAATATAATATCACTAATTAATAATAAAACACCAAATAAAAAAGGTGAATTCTACTTAGACTTACATGGCAGAAGAATGAAGAATTTTTATTTTATATGACAGGTTAATTATTGATTTTTATAAGATTCATCTGTTTATTTGTTTTATTATTATTAACTGATGATACCATATCACCTTTCTACATGGTATCACAGTTGTAATAAATATTTTCTCCCTTAATGACCTCCAAACGACCTCCAAACTGTCATTCCTTTCTTTCTGTGTTTTTGATTTTTTGAATTTCTAAAAAATTAGCTGGCTTATCATTATTAGTATTTTTCTTCAACTTTTTAAACAAAATAAAAAATAAAAGATAAGGCAATAGTTTAACTTCCTATAAATTAAACTTCCCACCTCTCTCTCTCTCTCTCTCTCTCTCACCCATGTTTCTAATCATATCTTCCCACTCATGTTGCTCTCCTACTCAAACCCGTTTTTCCTTACCTTGAGCAATTGGTGGATACCGTTCCTATTGAACAATTGGCGGACCAATCCACCTTTTTTTTACTTGGATGATTTGGTCAGAATAATCACTCACGTGTCCTTTACCTCCTCTGTCAATCCAACTTTTTTACTACTGTTGAGAAAAACGTATTTGTCTCACCTTTTCTTTCGATAGCCGACATTCCTACGACTTGTTCATTGGTTCAGAAAAGAACCCATAGAAGATGTAGGCTAAAATGAAGGAGTCATCCATGGAGTTGCAGTTGAGATCTCTCTCATTTTTATGGCTTCCAAACTATTGGATAGGAACTCTTTTACATATTTTCTCCGACCAGGTTTATTTTGAAGTTTGTTTACTTATGGTCTGTGTTATAGGAAGAATGAAAAGTACGAGAGATATAAAATATAAGAAATACACTTTCTATCATTTAAGAAAAAAATATGTGGATGATATATTTTCTTTCTTTATGTTTGGTAGGATAGATGAAAAATAAAAATATTTTTTTTTTTTGTGCTTGGTAAGATTGAAAAAATATATATTTTTTTAATTTTTATCTTTTATTTTTTTAATTTTTATATCAAAGTATATCTATAAACAAATAAAATACATTTAATACAAATAATTAATTTTTCATTCACTTGTAAAGAAAATTAATTTTGGTGAATTAGAAAGAAAGTTCATTAATCTGTTTTTTCATCATTCATATATATATATATATATATATTTTTTTTTTTACCAAACGTAAAATTTTATTTATTTCTCTAACTTTTTATCCTTTCAACTTTTATTTCCAAAAAGAAATGCATTATGAATATTTCGATTGCACCTGAATAAATGATGGTCAATTTTTATTTTTAATACAAAATAATGAAGCTATGTGTTATCTTCTGAATATTGGTGGACTTCTTAACAGTGAAGTTAATATTTTTTATAGTATTTCAGATGGTTGCTTTGTGGATGGGGCCAATGGTCACAATTTTTTTGCCGTGTTATGACTTTTATTTTTAAGAATTTCATTATGTTACTCAATTAATTTAAAGACATTTGGCCTTAGTATAATGATATATTCGTTTTATAGATGAAGTTTGATTTTACAAATGAATAAGTTTTTACATTTTTAATGTTTAAATTATATATTGATTTCATTGGCTTGGTATATCATTAAAATTTTAATTTTTAAATATTTAGAATTAACACCCACGCGTGTATGGAAAGTGTCACATTAGTTAAATAATAAAATTCCGAAAAACATCACCATTCGAACCGACATAATTCTTTGGCAACTAGGACGCAGAATAGATTTCCAACACACCCATTGAAACTCATTCCCCCCCTCCTCCCCCTTCCTCTTTTCACCCACCACACACACATTTGTATATACATGTATGTATGAAATGAAAGAATACATTGTAGACTTCGATGCTGACCTGACCCACTACATATAAAGTATCAGAAACATGTTATCCACCATGGCAGCCAGATTGGAAGCCACTTTGTTTTTTCTTTTTCATCTCTTTTACTTGCTAGAAATGCTAAAGATGCCTGACAAGACGTAGACATTTCACAGATTTTCCAGCGAGGCACTAGAAGAGTACTATGCTCCAATATGCTGCCTTGAAATAATGCCATCAAATAATTGACCTTACCAAAATATTTGCCTCACCCAGACAAAGCAGTACTTCCATCAGCACATGTTTGAGGAGGTCCCCATCAAAACAAACAATTTTGAGTCACATTTCAATACAGATTTCAATGACTACACTCTTAACTAAAAATTGGTGGATCACACAATGGGGTCGTATAACAATGAGAGAGATAGGATAAGGAGATGGACCGATGATCGCAGAATATTTGATGAAGATTGATCGTTAATTTCAGAAGAGTCGACGGCTAGGGGCATGCCATCGCTGTTGAGATTGCATGCCTGAGGATCAGAACCGTCTGTGGTCATCATGATAGCTCTCAAGACTGCAGAAACCGTGTGAATGTAGGCAGATCGGTTCTTGGCAAGAAGCCATGTTAGACCCATCAGCTCACAATCTCTGTTGTGCATTTTAGTTGTCCTCTCATCTGATTTGCTGGTGTTGCTATATTTCTCCTCTTTCAGCTGCAAGAACACATATGGTTTCATTAGAAAACAAGTAAACTCTTGCCCTCTAAAGCACGAACAAAGGTAGTATTGAGAGACTTAAGCATCCAGTCAAAAACAATCAAAAAAATATATTGCTTGGTTATAGTTGCAGTACTCAGAATATCCATCTATATTATATACGCCATCTTCAGATGTAGCCATGCATAAGCAATTAAGCACCATAGTAACAATGTTCAGCAAAGAAATGAAAGCCATTTAGTCCAAATCAAAGTATATAACAAAAATATAGGATTTTCATTTTGAAAATAAAATGAGGCGAAACCTCACGTTTCTTGGAATGATGAACTATCTGAATCAACAACAAAAACGAATTAGACAACTCAAAAGTTCATGACGAATGAGAGCAATAGAAAAAATTAAAAGACCCAACTACGGAAACTTAGTGTGTTTCATTTGGGCTGTGCTTTTGCAAGACCTTTTTTTTTTTTTTTTTTTCTTTTTAGGGAAGAGAGGTGACTTAAACCCTTATCGTCAAGATAACCCCTCTTACAAGTGCAACATATGTTTGCAGCAACAGGAAATACAAACAACTATATAGTCAGTAACATAAGCAAGAGAGACACTTTGCTTCGTGTATATCATGTACAAGGTCGATGTGTTTCCACTACCTTAAACAAATTACAATTTCTTCAAAAAATCTATTTATTAAACACCTAAAACTAAGCAAATAATATTTTTAAACAATAAAAATAACCTACAGCCTTATCCTTGACTCGCTTAACAGTGGACAATGGGAATGCGGGGAAAAATCGATACTAAATGTTGCAAATTTACAAATTGTACGCAAAAATAGAAAATTCTATACGGAAATTGTCAGAGAATTATTAGTGTGCTAATCCTTTTTTATTCCGAAACGGGAAATATTAAATATCACCGAATTTATAAAAGCATCGCTGTAAGCAAAAATTCTAGCATTTTTGAAGCGTTTTCCAAAAGTAAAGAATAGAACTTTACCAAATGCACACATTGCAATTGAAGACGAAGACTCAAAACCAACCAAAATTACACACCTTTGTTCTTTATCATCCATCTTTTTTACAACCTATCAAACCACACTGATAAACCAGTCACAAATTTGTTTTATGTTGTTTTACAATCCATCAAACCACACGCATAAACCAGTCGCAATTACGTTTAGACCAAAAAATTTGTGTTATGTTGTGTGTGTGAGAGAGAGAGATAGAGAGAGAACACTTACCAGATAAAGACTGTTCAAGCACTTGGAACACCCACCAAGACCCACAAACCCATTTTCACCATTACTCAAACAATCACTCTCTAACCTCTTAACACTCTCTTTACGGGCCAATTTCCCTGTAGAAGAGACATAGAAAGCGTCTGGGCAGCTCAATGGGTGTAGCCTAATGCCACAATAACAGTACACTACATCACAGGTCTCATTGGGCTTCACCAATTCTATCCCTTTGTTTTCCAAAGCCTTCTCGAGGCTGTCAACACAGGTCTCGGAATCATCAGGCAAGAGAGGCATTTCATACGACGCCGTTTCTGGGGTCTTGTTCGGTCTTTCTAAGGCGGTTTTGGAGTAGGCTGAATAGAGCCAGGCTGCAAGAACGGGGCAGCACCGGGTACGATGCAGCTGACTCGAATAGTATTGTCCTGGTCGACCCTTTTTGACGCTGCACGCGGCTTTGACGCCGTGGAAGAGCTCGTCGGAGAGGTCTAGAGGGCATCCTGAAACGTCTAATTGCTCTGGAAAGGCTGGGATGGTTGCTGGAGGTGATGGAGCGGGTAAGAAAGTCTGGATAGTTAACGGGTCCGGGTCAGGGATGGCTGAATGTACGGGCAGAAGATTGAAAAAGAGGAAAGTGATGAACAAGAAGAGGAAGTTTTGGGACATTGCTGTGGGAATCAGAGAAGAGGTTGTGGGTGGTTTCGTGGAGAGAGAGAGAGAGAGAGCCAGAAGAGAGGAGTGACTTTAATGAGTGGGCATTGAGTTTGGTATTGCTTTATTGTGTGGAGTGGAATGGCATGGAGTGTGTGGGGTAGTGAGAGAGAGAGAGAGCGAGAGAGAGAGAACTTCAGAAGTTGGGGTGGTCTAAAATGTGGGGGGGAACTAATGTAAGAGGGACTAATGTAAGAGGGATAATGATAATATATTTGGTTGGGGATATATAAGCTTGAAGCTAAAGTGTGGGGATAGAGGCAACAGGCTTATGGGTTTGGACAAGTTTTGGCTGTTTGTTTGTAGGCTAGTTCAGGGCTTAGCAGTGTGCACATAAATAAGTGGGATTAGCAATAGTGTCATGGAGAAATAATCATTGGTGAAAGATTATATACATTACAGAGAGGGGCAATTATACCTGCATTATATTGGTATATGCGGCCTTCCATTTATTTATTTGTTATTGCATGTAGATGCGAGTCAAAAGCCATTCAAGCTTGTGGTTCACTGGTGTCCTTGAAGGAGATCACCCCAACTTCTGAAGTTCATTATATGCTATGAAGAGTTTTTTTTTTTTTTTGGTCCACTTTAAATGATAGGGCAGACCCAAAAAAGGTTTCAATAATAAGTAATATATTATTTAGGAGGCAAAGAATGTAATTAAAGATAAATTAAAACAAATGATCAACTTCTCATATTGTTAATCTTTTATGAAGCCAAATCTCCTCCAGTACTCTTTTATCTATTTTTCTTCTTAACAAATTATCCACTATGAGTAAATAAAGAATTCACTTAAACATAATGAGTCTTATTTGAATAAACAATGGATGACCCACCAATAAGAGAAATTGAGGTAAGAATAATGTTATGTGCACCAAATATATACACCAAATTATTGCATCAAATGATATGAGTTGTTGGATTTGTGGAACCCATTTACTCTTAATGCACATCCAATAAGTGTTACTTTACCACATCATTTGGTAAAAGAAATTTGATGCACATATTATTACTCTTGACGTAAAATAAATTGGAGGATGATGTGGGAAAAAGTAATTACAATGATAGGAAAGCCATAAGGGATGTTCCAGCCTTTGAAATGTTATCGTTGGAAGACTTGTTAAGCTCTAACAGTACTGAAAAAGCTAGGAGTAAAGCCAATCCTAATAATCGGCTCTCCTCACCTAGCTATCGCATGAAAGAAGCAAGTTGGATAACATTACCTATAATTTGATAGTCAAAGGACCCCCAAGATGAGGTTAGTAGCACGCCTAGAGGGGAAACATTTAAAAGGCGGACACCCCTTAATTCAAAGAAGTCTCTGCCCTTACCAAACTTATCTAGGATTCGAAAAACTTCCTGACGAGGAGGAGTCCTTTCCACCACTCAGAAGAGTAGACTCCAACCATTAGGGGGGTCTTGCAAGGATAAGGAAAGACAGACTCCCCAAATATAAGGAATCTACTCCTTCCTATAACAAACGGAGGAGCCTAAAGTCCACTGCTCACTAACTATCCATTCAAAATACTCTAAAAGGGAGCCTAGGGGTAGATCAAAGGCACAAAACATCAATCCTTGCACGTATCTTAAGACCCTTTTTCAGCAAATACTAATTTAAGCATCAGAGCGTCACCCCCAGAGCTCCCCCCCCCTCCGGTATTTGATTTTCTTTTCAGGTCTTTTCAGCTTGCGACAACATCTTTTGGAGTCTTGAAGGCTAAGTCAATCCTACTAGGAGCTATTCAACCTATTTGGAAAGATGATAAGGAGCAAGGTAACAAGCTCATTAGCTTGCCTAAAGGTTAGGTATATTTTTGCACCAACAGTTTGGTGTTATCTATGAGACTCGAGTGGGTATTTTAAGCAATTCTTATAATTCTCCAATAATTATAAGAATTGTGGATACTTTAAAATTGTGTATGGTGACTACCAAATCTGTTGACATAATTAGAGATGATCCTCCAAGAGAGTAACACTCATAGGGGACGAATGAAAGGGGACAACCATTATCGAGAGCCCCCATATGCCACCAAGTGACAAAAAAATCAGAGGGTGCTAAACTTGAAGGGAAATTACAAATAGGCTGAACCAGACCATTGAGGATCTATCTTAGCAAACTCAACAAATCCTTCAAGTCCTCACTGGTCAAAATCCATAGTAGCAATCTCTTAATCAAAAAAAGCCTGACACAACTCCAAGAGGGATATGAGGGACAAAAACAATCAAAATGATACTCTCCACCGACAAGACAAAAATGCATCTTTGGATCATAAATTAAAGGAAGCCAATGATCAGTTTGGGGACTTTGATTAGCACTTAAATGTAGCATATCATTATGTCTTTTTAGGACTAATTGTACTTTGATGGAGTTCAAGTAAGGATACTTTAGGTTCTAAAGTGAACAAGGGCCCGAGGGCAACAAAAGTCACGCTTGAATGTTGCACCAGTACATTAGGGAATGAAATTGGAGATGCTTGGAACAAAGCAAGAACGTTCGAACGCCAACTCACGTTCGAATGTCCATCGGAACTATGACAAAACTAGCCTGTTGCTTGATAGTTTCCGTTGTTGTTCCTAACCTCTAAACATCATCCCTCAATGTGTATATGACTGATGTGTATAAGGCAGTGTCACTCTCCCTCGGAATGATGCAAGAGATGGGACAACAGAATTATAGATGGAATGGAATGAAATGAACAAAATATGTGTGTGGATGAAATGCGTATGTGAACAAAAGTGCTCCCTAAGCACAAGGAGTCTTTTGTGTGTCGTTGTTTTACTTGGAAAAGTATTCCAAGGTCGTCTCCTCAAGGAAGGAAAGTTGAAGTGTGGTGAAGGTGATTTTGTGAAAAAGGAAAGTGTAAAATCTTGTAGTTGGTTTTATTGAGTTTTGTTCTTAATGAAAATGCAAGAAAACAAGTGTTGGCTAATCCTAAGAGTTCATTCCAATGAGAATACAAAATCAAATCGAAACCTTCCTCCAATGGTGCATAGATGAAAGATTGATTCGTGGGAAGCTTGGGACTAAAATGGAGGTGAGGATTCAAGCATACACCGTGACTAGGCCTACGGTGTATCAAGAACTCACAACCATGTCCTCACCCCAACCTAGTCAAACCGAACCATCGTCAATTAACTCACGACAAAGTCAATTAACTCATGACAAGGCTCAATCATGGCACTAGGGATAAATTTTTCCAAGAAAATGGCTAAGGCTCATAGCAAATCAAAGATAGCCTAAGATCATTTCTGGATAAGCATAGGGGAGCATTGTACATAGCAAGACAAAGTCAATTAACTACACAAATGCACCTAACCAAAACAAGCATAATGAGATTATTGAACAAATGTGAAATTTGAAAAATTGTTCCTTGAGTAAATGTAAGTTCCCTCCAAATAAGGATTGACATTAAAGCTCACATGAGTTCTTACTCATCTCCACTATGCATGTCAAGCACTTAAATGTGAACTCAATCCGTAAATTCTCCAAATTACACATTCAAGGTCAAGGTGCACAATGATTGAGTTTGAAAGAAAACACATATGTGATACTTTTGGCAATAGGATAAACTTCTATAATGTGCTCATGTATTCAAAATTCACAATGAAGATAAAGTAATCACAAATCCCATAACAATTAGGGTAGGGGAATATAGTTCAATATTGGATATTTTACACAAAAAATGTTCAAAATTTTCACATTTTCTATTATTCTATACAAAAAGTGGTGAAAAATGTAAATGGTGCACCTCAGTTGCCCTCACCCCCCCCCCAACTTAAATCATGCATTGTCCTCAATGCACAAGGAATCATGCAATGAGAAAATGAAAGTAAAATGGGAAATGAGATACTCCTTTTTTTTCATATATATATATATACACACATTAACGGAAAAAAAAATAAAACACAAAAAGCTTGTTTACATCCCCCCTAACTTCGACTAGAACATGATGCCCAATAAGATTTGCTACAATGAGGCTCAATGTGCAACGAGTCCAAATTAGGAAGAGATGAACAACCTTCATTCTATAATCTACCCTACAACATTTATGAAAATAAACATATAACAATAAAAGAAATCTAACTACTATGTACATGGAAACAAAACAAAAAGGCTCATGTCAATTCGGCTTCAATTCAGATATGAGCTTGCGTCCATTGATTTGTTTGATTTAAAAATTTTTTTGTTGTATAAATGTCCCTTCCTAACCCATCTATCCAACAATACAAAGGATAATAAGTCAAAAATCTCAACCATATAGAAGTGTAGGAAAGTTTATGCAATCCCAATAATGGAGTATACAATTTCTCCTTAAAAGTTTCTACACTTAACTCCATTTCAATGCCCTCCCAAGTTGAGAAATGTGAATCTCAACACCACTCTTAGATGACAAAATGTCCTTGGGCTCATTAGCGTCATGTGAGATGATATCCTCATTAAATGTTTCACAATCAAGAGTAGTGTGACATTCAACATCAATATGCATTCCATTGAGATGATCATCCCCAATACATTGATTATGCTCAAGATGTTGTTCTTCATGCATAGCAATTATAGCATTAGTCAATGTATTAAGTTCATCTCTAATTTCATAAATTTGTTGGGCTACTTGGGCATTGACTTCCATTTGGCATTGCATAAACTCGTGCAAAATATTTTTCAATTCTTGTTTGGTTGAGTCCTTGTATGTTGGATAGTGGAAAAATTCATTTGGTGGTGCGAGATCGGACAAAAAATTATAAGGTTCATCCTCCCAATCATAACTCGAATATCTCGTTGCAACATAATGGTTGGGGTAAAAATTTAAGTAGGACAAAACTAAATTTGAAACTTTGCATGCAAAGTCTTGAACCGGATAATTTATTAGGCACTCATTAGTGATGTATTCATACTCACCACAAATCTCGCAAACGTTTTTAAAATAAGAGGCATTTATTGGGCACTCACTAGTGATGTGTCCATACTCACCACAAATCTCGCAAACGTTTTCAAAATAAGGGGCATTTATTGGGCATTCACTGGTGATGTGCCCATACTCATCACAAATC